TGTCCAATGCACAACAACAACCTCATTTCAACCCCTGTGAAATTAGGTGGTGATTGTAACACTCTTTAAACCTCCCAAATCTGAAATAATAAATTAGGTTTATACTACTTAATTTTACAGGGACTTACTACCTTTTGCCCCACAGTAATTTGTTGCCATAATTACATTAAATTGAAGCTGATTTTTTTTTTCTAGCCTAGATCTAGCTGGAAGCTTGTTGTTCCTATTCCTGATCCAAATAAGAATCTGTTGTTGCCCTAAAGCCTGCCTGGTCTCTGAATCTACTGGATACTCTAATTTCACTATAAACCTTATCATCCTGTAGCCTTAGATCCTCACTGCTACAGCACTGTTAGTAAATTACATAGAATTAATTACAAGGGTGAAATAAGCATCTGAGCTGTGCCAGGGAGAGCTGCAGATGGGGTGTTTGGAGAGGAAAACAACCTTTGGGCACAAGAGCAGAGACTGATTTTGCCTTCCTGATTCCAGAGCCTGTGGGCAGTCACTGATCAGTGGCCAAAGATGTGTTTCATTACTGGCCAAAAGTGTGGCCAAAGATCAGACAAGAAGGAGGGGGGGAATTGTTTGGGTCTTGTATAATTAGCTTTGAGACCCATTTTAATGCATTACTGCACTACTGAACTAAATACCTGCATTAGAAAGTGAGTCGTGGTGGGAGCAATCGAGACAGCACTGCCTGGTTCAGAGGTGCGTGCTGTGAGCTGGACTCTGGCCAGGCCTTTCCAAATTTAAGCTGCAGGAGCAGCGTTGCCTGAGCAGCCTGTGCCTCCTGCCACTTCTGAGGGCAGGCTGAGGGAAGAGTCCACAGTGGTTCCTGCTCCAACCCCAGCCTGCTCCTGGCCACCACGACCAAGTGGCCCAGTGGCACAAACCTCCCCATCTCTGTGCTGCCCAAGGCCAAACACAAAGGCAGCATCCTCACAGCACCCATCCAAGGGTCCCACTCACCCCTGACACATTTTTGGCACTGCACCACCACGTTTTTGGCACTAGCAAAGATGCTTTTTGGGTTATTTAATCCTGTGCACCTGCTGGCTTCCACATTCCCTAGCACAGTTAACAATTTCCTCTTTAGGAGAAGCTGTTGAATTGCTAGCAGTGGGTGAAGTTTGTGTGTCTGTTCAGAGCAGCACTGCTCTCAATAAATGTGTGTGTGCAGCACTCTCCCTGCTGCAGCAGGGCTTGCTCTCCCTCCAGCTCTTTTTGTGCAGCTGGGCTGGAGGGCAGTACTTTTTTTTTTTTTTGCATTTTCTATTTCCATAGCTCTCCTTTATCCCAGTTTGCTCTGAGCCATCCCACGGGCTCTCCTTCGTCCTGTGCATCCTCTGTGGAGCAGCAGCCGTGCTCCATCTGCCTCCTGTGCCACCAGCACCACAGCCCAGCCTGGCACTGGGATGGATGGAGAAGCCAACACCTGTGCAGCTGGGTCCTTACATGCCAAGGTTCGTTACAGCACGTTAATTATTCTTCTGGGTCAGCTGCAAAAAATGGCTCCCAGAGCGGGGCCACCTTTTGCCATTTTACAAAAGTCAAAAGCGCTGAACAAGGCTGTTGTATTTAGCTTGGAGCTGTCACAACAGGCACAAAATCCTGTCCCAGCCTCTTGTTAAATGATCCTTGTTCTAAGGGGAAAAAAGAAGCTTAATGAATGCATCCATAGGAGCCATTAAGAGCAAAATAAAGGCAGAGATAAAGGAAGATAGAGACAAAGAATGGACGACCCTCAGACATGTTTTCTGCCAAAGTCATTCTTTACATAATAGATGCAGTTTCTTTCTTTCCTCAGATGGGAAGATGGGCTTGACACCATCTCATCAACAGCAGCTGTAATAACAGCTCCTTGCTATTAATATGCAAATTGAAATGCACACACTGATTAAAAACGTGTTAGACAAAGGCTTTTGCCAGAGACCTGCGAGTGGGTGACAGGGTTCAATTAGGGAGCAGTGGCCCACTACAGGGTTTCTCCTGCAGTCTTCACCTTGAGCCCAGTGCAGGAACTTCAGCAGCAGCACACCACAGGGTTAATGGACATTGGCTCTCTCTGGAGCTCTCATTCAACCCCCAAAGTGGGTCCTGCTTGTCTCCAGCCCCTCTCCAGCCCTGGGGACTCCCCACAGCCTCTTGCTGTGGGAGCAGGCTGGCAGCTGCTCAGGTCCATGACCTCAGGCAGGTGCAGCCCAGAGGAAGAATCAGACTTCCACACACTTAATTTGAAGATTATGGAAGGTGGTTTTAAAGGTCAGGACTTGCTAATTAAGTTGATGCAATAGGAACTTAAGAAAGGAAGCACCACTTACGTAGCAGGAGCATTCTTGTCCCATGATTAATCTCTGTATGAAGCTGCTGTCTCAGGGCTGCCTCAGGTTACACCCTGCTGCCATAGAGCTCCATTGCCTCCACATAAGGAGCCAGATAAAACCACATTATTATTTGTGTTGAGCTGTGTCTGAGCATGAAACACCCCTGGAAGTCAGTGTCCTGCCCCAGAAACACAAGCTGACTCACCCACACCAGACTCTGGAGAGCTGCCTCAGCATGGCTACAGTAATGAAACACTTCTAAAACATTGCAGCTCAGAGCTGGCAGCCACATCTGCAGCTGCCTCCCAGTGCCACCTGTATTCCAGTTAGCACTGACTGTAAAGTGAGTCTGGGGAGAGACCCAACCAGACTGAGGATAAATGATTGAGATTTGCTTTCTTCACAGACTATCTTGCACAGAATTTTAAACCAGTAAAACATTTGGCCAGAACAGACAAAATCAAATTGTTAAGTGTAAATGTTCTGCATGAAAAATGCTGAGTGTGTTTATGTTTTCTTTTTTCAATGAAGAAAATATACTCAAATGTTTTCACCCTTCAGTTTAAAGTAACCTAGGGGGACACAGTGGTTGCACAGAACCACTTTCAAAGCTCTCTAATACATCCTCTCACACATTTCACCCTGGGGCCATTGGTCCAGGCTTGACATCAGAGATCTGGCGTCACTTCTACAGGGATCACTGACTTACCATGAGGAGATTTGTCTTTTTATGTCTTGCTTTGAAAGCCTAATGAACTTAGGAAAAGTAAGAGATTAAAAGGATTTAGGGACCAAAGCCTGATTGACTGGACCTGGACAATACTGGCAACAAATGGAAATATTGTGCTGCTCTGTCACTCCAGGCTGGAGACAGGGGTGTGATGGGGCAGCTCACCTGCCTCCCACTCACCTGGGCCAGGTGCTGTGGGGTGGGGAATCCCATCAGCAGAGCTGAGCCTCCTGCTCTGCAGTGCCACGAGAACCCCAGAGTGACACCAGCCCCAGGCTGGACACCCCGGGGAGAACAGCCAGCCTGGCACAGCCTGGCAGCAGAGGCTGGGTCCAACCCAGCTCACTGCAGAGCTCTCCCCACGCCTGCCTGGGGAAAGAAATTGTGTTTGTGCTGTAATTAATTTGCTGCAATTAGCTTGTAGTGATTACTAGAGCACACAGATTTTTGGGCTTGTCTCCTGACAAAAACGCCTCTGCAGCACCCTGGATGCTGCTTGGGGGAGGGCTCCTTTGGGGAAAGGAGGCTTGGAAAAGTCAGGCTTGAACCCACATGACTGATGTGCCCTATTTCTGTAAATCACTCTCTCTGTAAAGAGGCAGTTTAGCTTCAGGAACACTGGCGGCTCATGTTATTACCCAAAACACAATAAATGAAACCACCCCACAGCCATGAAACCCAAGGAGATGTTTACTCATCTGTGAAAAACCCATTCTCCTCCACACATGAAAGGCATCGATGCAAGAGCACAAATTAATCACACAGAGCTTCTGCAGTGGCTCTGAGTGTCCCACAGAGGGAAGGAGGTGATGCTGCAGTGCACCCGAGCTGTCCCTCCACAGCCTGGGGCTCAGGGAGAGCCCAGGGGCTCAGGTAATGCCCAGGGGCTCAGGTAATGCCCAGGTACAGCCCAGGGGCTCAGGCACTGCCCAGGGGCTCAGGTAATGCCCAGGGGCTCAGGTACAGCCCAGGTACAGCCCAGGGCTCAGGCACAGCTCAGATACAGCCCAGGGGCTCAGGCACAGCTCAGGTACAGCCCAGGGACTCAGGTCCAGCTGAGGTACAGCCCAGGGGCTCAGGTACAGCTCAGATACAGCCCAGGGGCTCAGGTCCAGCTGAGGTACAGCCCAGGGACTCAGGTCCAGCTGAGGTACAGCCCAGGGGCTCAGGTACAGCTCAGATACAGCCCAGGGGCTCAGGTACAGCTCAGGTACAGCCCAGGGGCTCAGGTACAGCCCAGGGACTCAAGTCCAGCTGAGGTACAGCCCAGGGACTCAGGCACAGCTCAGGTACAGCCCAGGGGCTCAGGTACAGCTCAGGTACAGCCCAGGGGCTCAGGGTACAGCCCAGGGGCTCAGCACACCTCAGGTACAGCCCAGGGGCTCAGGCACAGCTCAGGTACAGCCAGGAGCTCAGGCACAGCTCAGGCACTGCCCAGGGGCTCAGGCACTGCCCAGGATTGAGGCTCCTGGCCAGCAGAGCAGCCCAGGATACAGAGCACTGAAGGGCTCTCCTCCCACTCAGCTCCTGCTCTGCTCAGGCAGGGGAACGAGCTGCTGCAGGCAGTGCAGGGCAGAGCCCGAGCTGGGTCAGTGCAGGGCTAAAAACGTGTCCCTGCAGGTGCACAGGGCACCAGCCTTACCTGGGATGGCCTGGCCAGCTCAGCCTGTGCCAAGGCTCTGGTGCCCCCGGGCTCCTGCAGCTCTCCGGTGGGCACAGCAGCGTCCGGCCTCGCAGCCAAGTCAGTAAAGCAAAGAGCTTCTGCTGAGCCTGCATGGATCCTACCAGCAGGAAAGAGAATTCACACTTTCTTTTCAGTGTTCTTTACTCATGGAACCATTTGTTTCTTTAGAGACAAAGAGGGAAGGAAGAAACTGATCCGTTACACAATCCCCACCATTCACTGCTGCTGCTCTGTATGTGCTGACACAAACCATGCTGGAGAAGGTGAAGGAAGTGTGTTTATTTCTGATTGAAGACTGATTACATCACTATCATGGATAATGTAGTAGAATAATCTTATACTCTTGGGAGAAATCTAGGAATAAATATGAAAAAGTAAAATAGTTTGTTTCCACTGTCCCTGGAGATGGCTGATGAGTAAGTGCTGTATTTACAGGATAGTTATCATACTCTAGACTCTGTGCTGAATAAATATTGTCCTGAAAGGGTAAAAAAATCCATCGAAATATTTTAACTCACCACAAAATTAAAAAAAAAAAATTCCATGTACTTGTCCAAAGCAAAGGTTAGTTACATGTTAATTATTGAATCCACATAGGATCACTGTCCAAGAAAGCCTCCTCTCCTGCTGACCCGCTCCCCTCCACAGAAGCAGCATTAGTGCTTGTCCTCTTCTCCACTGACGAGCCACTATTGGTTCTTCAGGCTGCAAGAGAGAAACGAAGCCCAAGTCACGCTCCATCCTGGTGTGTTTTATCAAAGAAAACCACCACAGCAAACTGGAAAAAGTCTCCTTTCTTTAGGTGTTAAATTTGAATTTAAGAGCCTGACAAATCCTGCCCAACTCGCCTCCCCCATGGCCCAGCACAGCTCAGCTGATGAGGAATTCCTCGTTGGAATTGGCATTGGCAAGCTCAGGTTTGTGCTTTGAGCAATTAACCCAGTGTTTGGGTTTTACATGGAAGTGATTAATCTGTGCACCCAACACCACAACACAGAGCTGTACGGGCTGTTCTGGGGCTTTCAAATTATGATCAAAACAGAAGATATCAGAGATATCTTCATTTTCACTTACATTAAAAGGGAAGGGAGACAAGTCAGATCTGTAATGAGGGGAAGTATTACATTCTCTTTCTTCACAGGCAGTGTAATTATTCAGCTGCTCTCTGGAACTGAAACTATGACAAATTAAAATGCCTATCAATTCCATCTACCTTTTGTAACTATTCATCTTCTGGAGTTGTTACTGCTCTAAAGGCTCCTTTACCATAAGCCACTATATATTGCAAAAAAGCACATAGAAATGCTACTATTTCCAAGTGTTATTGTTACTGTAGCCACCAAGGCAAGAAACAAAATCATTTGGCTTGGGTGTGAAGCGCACAATACAACTAATTTACTCTAATTTCCAGAAATTTACAGGAAATATTCTGCCAGAGAACCTTCATCCTGAGGGAGGATGTGCAGAAGGAGCCCAACCTGCTGGCACCAGGGCTGGAAGCATCCAGGAGAAGGAGAAACACCATTTGGCACTAAATCTGACCCGGGTGGAGCCAGGCCAGGCAGCCCCAGAGCTCCCCATGAGCTGGCTGTGCCAGACACACAGACCCTGGGACTTGCTTCAGCCACAACAGGCTGTCAGTGTTTGTTCACACCTTCTTAAATAGATGGGAAAAGTGATGTAAACACAACCATGGGAAAAGGGTGACATTTCTCCAGGCATGATATTAACAATATTTTGATTAGCTCATGCCTGAATAGCCAAGCAGCTTATGGTGATAAATACCCTGTTCCAATTAGACATCTGTGTTCTCAGCCTGAAAATAAAAAAGGGAAGAAAAGAGGAAAGAGCCTGCCCAGGACCAAGCCTGCTGCCTCTGCTCCTCAGCAGGACATCAACCATCTGGGCTTCCCAGGGGGCAGCCCAAAGTCACAGAGTTGTGCAGGAGGGGCTGCAGAGCCACCTCCCCTACCAGATACGACCACTCTTAACCCCTCAGAATTAATTTTGACCATTGAACTGCTTTTACCCCGATGGTGGCTGCAGGATTGGGTCCTCTCTCTGCAAAAATCCTGAAATTAAGCAGGAAGCCTGAGTCTGAAAGGGAAACCCTGACATGTATTAGCATCCCTGAAAGTGCAAATGAGCGGTTACAAAACCCTGGAATACATTTGTGAGCTCTAGATGTGGCAGAGAGGTCTGGCTGATCAAAGAGACAAAATGAAGGCGAGAAGACAAAGTTGTTCTTTGTGGAAGTGGGAATGGTTATCCCCACACAGTCAGACTGTTAATTAGCAGGGCTGGATCTCAGCCCTCCGTGGCTGACAGAGAGCTCAGCTCTCACCCTCTGGCACGTGTGACAGACCCACAGCTGGCCCAGGGCTGACACCCACCCCAAATGTGAGCCTGGGCTCTCTGCTCTGCCAAAATCACCTCTGCTCCTTGCAGCCACGTGCCCAGAGGAGGGACCTCACACCAAATCCAGGCTCCCTGGAGCCTCTTCCCTGGAGGCAGCTGTTTTCTCCAGGCCATGGGGATGACCCAGCCTGCTCCCAGCCCCTCTCCAGGAAGGGCTTCTTGCCAAGCCCCAGGGTAACATTCTGCACAAGCATTGTTTTGACCCCAGACACTGAATATCCTCTGTCTCCTTTCACAACTATCTGGGACTTTAATCCCTGCTGTTTGTTGCCAATCACTCTGAGCAGTGATTTTTCGTCTTCACAGCTTGCATAAAGCAGAGAAGAGGGAGGTTTTGTTTCTGCCAGCCCATGGGGAGCAGTGAGGAGCGAGGCTGGCATGTGCCCCCCTCCCAGCCTCTCAGAAGTAACACTCACAGCTGGGATTCTGGCTGCTGCTGTGCCCACAGGAAGGAGCTGCTGGTGCCCACCACTGGGCCCTGCCTGGCACCCTGCCCAGCACGGGGGGAGGAGGGAAGGAGAAAGGAGATTAAAAAAAAACCCCATCTATTTCTGGAGAGCAAGTCAAACAATGCCTCAATCATCTCCACACAGTTCATAAATCCCTAATTAAAGGTTTAGTGCTCCACCCCGCTGCAGATGTTCCAGAGTCCATCCACATTCCAACACTTGCTCCCTGCCAGCACGTGCCCACAGCCAGCAGCATCACCCATCAGAGCCTGAGCCCTGCACTCCCACTAAATTTCACACATCCAGTGTGAAATTTAACCTTAATTCTCAAATTAAGCTCGAGTACCTGGATCCTGGAGAAAAAAATATATAATCTATAAAAAATATAACATATTTTAAAATGTTAGAAATATAGCATATATATATGCATATATAAATATATGTATATATAAATATATGTATATATAATACATGAATATATAATAGAACATATATAAAATGTATATAATATAATATATACAAATACATGTATATATAATAGAACATATATAAAATACAATATATATATACACATTATATATATAATGTATATATATAATATGTATAATATAACATATATAAATATATCATACATCTGGAGCTGGCAGATACATCTGCTTTGTGCATGCACAGCTGGTGGGATAAGGACCAGCTCAGTATTAACTCCCTCTTCCTGCATCTTTTATTCAACACCAAAACACCAGACAAGACACCTCCAGCTTCCTTCCTAAGCCCTATTCCCCCTTTCTTGGTCCAACAAACGCAGTCAGAAGCACTCGGGGTAGCACCTGAAGTTCCTATGAATGTTCCATCTCTCCTGCTCAGACACTCAAGGAAGAGCAGCTCAGCTGCAGGGTACAAGCCTCAAATTGTGCTGCCCGTGGAGCCCCAGCCCTCCACAGGGCAGTGGCAGGCTCCTGGTTAACACAGCTGCCAAGTTCATGGTGTGTGTGGTGGGTTATTTAAGGCAGCTCTAACTGGGGCTCTCAGCGTGCTGCTCTCTGCAGAGCTCTCAGGAACAGCAATAAATAACCACAATGCAGCTCATGCCTCATAAAAGTTCTCAGCTCCTGAAGCAGCTTTCCAGGAAACTCATCTGCCTGGGATTTTTTGGGTGGTGTCAGCTTCCATCCTGCAGTCTCTTTGTCCCAGAGCGAAACCCCTGCATCCCTTCACCCCTGTCCTTCACCAAGTGCCCCCTTCTTCAGGTTAGTTTAGTCTTTAACTATATGAAGTATGACAGCTACATAAAATGTTTTGTTGCCTTTGCAACTGCAATCCAGTGGCTTCAGCCTGAGTTATGAGGCAGAGGACAGCCTTGACATTAACCAGCAATAATGAGAAGAGCAGAACCAGCAGGGGAGCACTGGCTGAGGAACGAGCAGGGGACCATCCCCACCTGCCCCCAGCACAGGGCACACCTGGGAGCCACAGTGCTGCCACCACCCCGTGGGACACCACAGCTCTGGGAACTCAGCAAAGGACCAGGTCTGCATTTCCAAAGTCCCTTTCTTGATATGGAAGAGGCAATTGCTTGGAAAAGCCAGTGAGGCATAGATGCAGCCTTGGCAGAATGTGCTGTTTGTGCTGCCCAGCACATTCCTTTGCACTGAGAACGGGCTGAGCCCAGGGCAGGTGTGTCATCTGCCACTCCTACCACAGTCAAAGCATAAATAACTTCCCAAGGTGTCATTCACAGCACTAGAAATTAAGATTTCTTAATCTCTGCTGATTGCAGGAGACTGCACAACAGAGCAGGTGGTGTGGGGATAACCCAGAGGACCAGGAACCCTTCTGGGGTGGGGAACTGGTGACACATCTCTATCTCCCATCCATGAGGCTGCTCTGGCTTGAGATAAACTTTATCCTTCACAATAATCCCTACAACAACCACAGCAATAACTATACAGACTGGCAAGGGAAGGCATTCAAATACTCCCTGAACAAACAGAATAAAGCCAATGTGAACACTCCCAGGAACTTGGGAAGGTCTGACATCACCTGGGGAAGGGCTGGCTTTATCCTTTGCTGGCTTAAGCAAAATGAGCCATTAGTAGTCATTGCTAGTTCTGCTCATCCTGCTCACTTTTCAGACTACCCTCAAAGCTACCTGAAGCACTTCAGGTATATCCCTTTATATTCCTCTCCTAATCTGGGCAGTTCCAAGTGATTCAGCCTGAAATGGTTCCCAAAGCTCACATATAAGTGCATTAAGAGCAATTAGTTCATTAATCTAGTCTCTGGTATCATGTGTTTCTCCATCACTTCATTTAATAATTTGTAGTAATTGACAGAGCAGACTCCCCCCAGTTCTCATAGCTGGCTAATGCATAATTAGTCTAAATCACAGCAAAAACTGTTTCACTGGGAAACACCTAATCCCCTTAGGCTCGTGGTGTCTCTTTTGAGGTTCCACACATGAAAGAAGCTGCACACTCAGTTACCATCATCCACAATTCAGTGATTCTCCAGCAAGCCCACGTGGGCTCAGCCCTGCATCCCCCCACCTGCAGGTGCCTCTGGTGTTTGCACAGCAACCAGAGCACAGCCCCCAGTGCTCCTCTGCTGGGGGGGGCTGCAGGGCAGAGCACTGTTCCAGAACATTCCATCCCGGCAGACAGACTGACTGCAGCCCGCTGGGAGAGGCACAGGGACACTCACTTGGTCTGGTGTTTGGAGCCCTTCAGGTGTGCATGGTACTGCTCTATGGAGTTCAGGGTGACGTTGCAGATGTTGCAGGTGTAGCTGCGCTTCAGGCCTGTGAAGAAAAACAGGTGTTAATTAATTAATTAACCCTTGGCTCCACCTGTGCCACGTGGTGAGGCTGAGGGGAGCAGAGGGAAACACTCCTGTGTCTGGGCTACAGGCTATTCAAAATGGCAGCTAGGAAGTACAAATAAATGAAAATGACTGAAGAAAAAGGGAGAAATAGAGAGAGAAAAAAAAGCAGTAACCTATGCTCCAAGCAAACTTCTAATTAATTAAAAGGTACTTGGAGCCCACATTTCATTTCCAGTTTCACAGACATTTCTCTTTACAGTGACCCATCTATTTACTTTTCCAGGCTAGGGTATCCAAGCATTAGAGAAACCTAAAGGAATATTTTTAGAACTGAGCAGAGGAAAGCCAGGTTCAAAGGCTCATCCCTCCTGAGAGTGTGGTGAATCTCTCCTGTGCCCTCCTCAGGGCATCACTGCTGTGCTCACACTAACAAGCACTCCAGGCACCATTTATCCCTCTGGTTTTTGGTAGTGATCATAATTCAGAGCAATTCTCTGTGAGTACCTTCAGCAGCCAGATCACTTGGGAGCTCTCTTTCCCCCAGAGGGATCCACTCTGATTTATCCACCAAAGTGAACCAGCCAAGCACAGATGCTGGTCTCCCTCTGGCTCAAGGTCAAGGCTGGCAGGCTGCAGGGGCACCAGGCAGCCACCCAAAGCCAAAGCAGGAGCTCTCTCACCTGCTGGGTTCTCTCTTGGCTGCAGTCCCCAGCAGAACCAAGGGCTCTGCTTAAAAACACTGGAGCCATGGGATTCCTAGCAGGGATTGCTGTGCTCCTTAGGAACAGCTCTAATGTTCCTTGTAAATATCTTCTGGCTTTCTACGGTATTTTTTCTTTGCCAAAATTGTTAGAACAACTCATTTAGAACAAATAACGTGTGGCGTTCTCAAATTTGATCAGTCCATGCTCACCATAATTAACTGCACAGGTAATAAACATGCTGACTCCTCCCCAGCTGGACCTGCCTTTTTGGCTCTCAAAAAAATCCCTTGTCTTGTTCTGCACTCCAGACACCAACAGCCCCACTTTTCTCAAACACTTCATAATATCTCTCACCCAGGAATTTGGCACAGCATGAAAATCATCTTTAAATAATATTCCAAAATCATTCAGATGAGTGCTTGAAAACAACAAGCCAGCAACTGCAGAGGTATTTAAGTAGTTTCTGTATTTCTGTGTCACGACGTGGCACAGAACAAAAATCAATTTGCAAATGTGCATATGGATTTTTCTCCTTCCAGAATTTATTCTTGATGGAGCAGTGATGATTTCACAGTCACGCCCTTTGTCCATTGCTGGCAGCTCCTGTTCCCTTTATTCAACCAACAGGCACCAGAAGCCACACGGATCTAGCAGAATGCAGGGGCAGGAATGGGAAAGGCAGGAATGGGGAGGGCAGTGAGTGCCTGGTGTGGTGTGTAGGCACATTGCAGAGACTGAGAACCTGGATCTCCACATGGCAGAGTGGGACTGGGGAGCTAAAAAACAGGTAATTCTTTAATTTAAGGTAATAAGGTTCTGCTGCTCAGCCAATTTAGCAGCACGTTAAGAGCAGCCTCAGTGAATCTTAATTACTGGTGTAGGTGGAAACGCCTTCACCAAAGCAGCTCCTAACTGGGGATGATGATTTTCTCCCTCAGCATGTCAAGGCTACTCACAGTGATGAACCAGGGGGAACCCTGCTCCCCCTCCCTGTGTTCTGTGCAGGGAATTAGTGCTGTTCCCTGATGCAGCTCTTCCCACTGGGAACTGGGTGGATTCCATGGCTGGAGCTGGGAAGATTCCATGAACTGGGATGGAGATGGAGAGAGGAAACTAGCCTCAAATGATGAGCAGCATGAGACCACAGGCAATGATCACTTCCAGGATGTAAAAATTGCCACAATTTGACCTCACTGGAGCTCATCAAAGCTGCTACTTGAAATTGGTTTCATAACACTCCCCAGCCAGTGCTCTGGGGCTGAGCTCAGCCCTCCAGGCCATAAGGTGGTCTCACCCTGAGCAGTTCATACTGGCAGCTGCTGGGCTCTGGCTGTATTCACATCCCCTTCTGCATCCTCAAGACACATCAGCACTGCCTCCCCTGCAGCGTGACATGCATTCATGTAAAATTGAATGTCCTCCTATCCCCATTAAATAAAATATTAACAAGTCAAGTTATTAATGTCATCCTGCATAAAACGAATTAAAACCCATTCCAGGGGAGTTCTTGTTAAACTGCTTCTTACTAACCACAAGTGACAGCACAGAATGAGAAGTATTTATAAGGCATACAAAGAAATTATGAGCTGAGATGAAAAAGGAAACACAGCTCGTTGCCTGATACTGGTGCATCTGCAGCACCACCAATGTACCTGAGGACACAAAGGCTCCAAGTGACATCATCTCTGTGCCCTTGTCCATCTGTACTGTGCTGCTGGGCTTTATTTTAGGGATTCAGAGCACCTGTTGCAGGGTTTGGCTGGCCCCAGCACCTTACAAACCAGCTGGGACTGCAGAGCCCACCTGCCTGGGAGAGGGAATGGGAGAGGCTGGGCCGTGGGGGACCCCAGACATGAACCACAGCTCATGAGATGTGACTTGAAACTTGACATTCCTCCTGCCTGTGCCTGGGACAGCCTGGGGAGGGTGAGAGCTGGCAGACGGAGCCCCATGGCCACTCTGAGCTGCTGAACAGGCACAAGGTGCCAGAGCAGAGCCTGGAATCTGGGGGTTGGTACCCACCAGGTTTTGTCTTCCTATGATCTGTGCCAGGGTGCAGGGGCAGCCAGGGGAGGCAGCTCTGCAGGAAGAAAACTCCCAAATTCTTCCTCTTTCAGGGTGTGCTCCCATGCTCCCCTGCCCTGCAGGAGCAGCAGGGATGCCAGGCCAGCCACACAGCAGGGTGAGTCCCAAAGCAGCTCTGTGCCAAGGCTGGAAAGCCTCACAGAACTGCTGGACCCTGCACTCCATCCAGCCAAGGAAAAGGGATCTCTCTCTGCCCTGTTCTAGGGCTTTAACTCAACACAGACTGCAGAAACAATGCTCATTTCTCCTTTTTGTTTTTCCTCTCCTCATTCTTATTTCTGAGAAGAAAATAAGACTTCAAAATTGCAGGATGAGCACTTGGTGAGAAGAATCAATGTTTTTGTTTCCTATAAATATCAATTGTCCAAAAATATATCTCTATTTTTATTTCTCCAAATATACATTCATATTTATCAATAAATATTTTATTACAGCCATTATCAAAACATCAAAGGCTGCTGAAATGTTGTACTTCAACTGACACTGCCTGTTCCAGGCTCACACAATGCATCAAACGTTCATCTCCCACACTAGTCAAAATAGAATTAATATTTAAGCTGTGATGGGAGAAGCCACCGGGGATGCAGAGGAAGGAGATGACTTTGCAATCCAGGGAAAACTGAGGCAGCAAAGGCAGTGTGGAGCAGGAGGAGTATGGGGATGCTGTCCCCAGCACAGCCATGTCCTGCTGTCACTGTTACCCTGCAGGCAGACACGATGTTACCTAGCAAGGTGAGCCTGGCTATTGTTGTGGGGTGGCCACTGCTTTCCACACCTGTCAAGATCTGCCCTGATCTTGCAGCTAAATGCATCCAGGAGAGCATGAGCACAGATGGACAGATGCTCACGACATGGTTAGAGGAACTGAAAGATTTCCCAGCTTGGCAGACTCAGGGACAGCTCCTTGCTTGTGCTGTGGAGCACAGGGTGCTGGGACTGAGCCCCTGGAAGAGCATCCTGAAGTGCCCAGCCAAAGGGCCACCCCTGTTCCCCTGTACCAGGCACACACAGAGCCTGGACACAGCTCTGCTGTCCCCTCTCCTGTCACCCACACACACTGGATCCAGTGCAAACCCCAACCATGCACAGCACCACCATGAAGGCAAAAACCAGCAGCTGACGAGGCTGTGAAGGCCTCCAATTTCAACTCTGCCAGGAGCTAAATGAATAAAACACTTCCCAACTGATTTATTTACAGTTAATGACATCCTCAGCCACTCCTGAGCTTGGCACAGCTCAAAGTACTGAGCACTTCCATGTTATTGTCCCAGGTTTTATCCCCACATACTGCCAGCAGCGGGCAGTGACTCAGCCAACATGAATCATTGATGGCACCATGAGTCACACTAGGTAGCACAGGAGGATCAAGATAACCATTACAAGGTTTATAGGAGATCAAGAAATGCACAATATACTGTATAGTCATTAGTATCTAAAGAAAAATTATTTCATTTAGCAAGGAAGAAGACCCAGGTGTATCAAAATGTTATTGCAAAGCCTCAGTGGCAAACCAAAGCTCTTGCACATAGCTCTGAATCAAACTTTCCTTCTTCCTCAGCTGCCTGAATCAGGTCCCTGTGTGCACACAGGATTGTGACCCACACAAAAAGGCTCGTGCCTCTCCTGTGCCTACAGCCCAGAGTAAGCAGGTACTTGTCAAGATTCACTCCTGGACTGAATCAAATTGCACCTCTCCATCACGAGCTCAGGAGGGCCCTGGGATGCTGGGGTGTCCAGCTGCTGAGACCACTGGCCTGGCTGTGCTCTGCTCTGCTTGAGGGTGGCTCCCAGAGGGGTGTGAGCCCAGGCACAGTCCCACAGGGACCCTGCACATGGGGCCACCATGGATGGACTGACAGACAGATAAAGAAAGGCTGCTTTCCCTTCAGCAGGAACCAAAAAAACTTGTGTTTAACATCCCTGTGGCAACTGCTCAGCTCCTGTTGCTGCTGCTGACCCAGGGCCATCACAGCATTTTACAAACACTAATTAAATCATGGAAGGCAGTTGTCCTGCTCTCCATCAGGGAGATGTAGGGAGTGCTCTGCCTCCAGCAACATCCTGTCTGCACTTCTTCGTGGGGCTGAGCTGCAATGTGCTCTCCTCTCCCAGGGACAGGCCACACTTGCTCGAGGACAGGTGTGTGCACTAATGGAAAGGACTATTTCAGGAGGAGGCAAAAGAGATACCTAGGAAACAACTTTGAAAGGATGCTGCTAAAACTGCAGGCTGGCATTCCAGAGCAGGGGATTTTTTTACACAACTGGGAGCCTTAGGAAGCAGTAACAGCATCTAGGGCTCCCTGCACCACTGGTGACTGCAGTGAGCAATTGTGGGAATCCATAAAATCAGGGGCTTTTGGGAAAGCTGCAAAAGGAAAGCCTCAGGGACAGCAGAATGTGATTAGAGCTAAGCAGCAGCAACAAGACTGGTCAGCAGAAAAATTATGTAAGAAGTAGAAAAGTAAGGCCAAGTAGAACAATGGTCTGTGTATTAATGCTTGTCTAGAATAACTCCCTAAGCTGCAGAAAAGTATATCTAGCAAGATATAAGGGAGTTCTAAGCTTAATAATGGAGCTCTGTGCATTGTGTTTGAAGGCTTACAAGCAGGTATTGTATCCAAAATAAGCAAGCATAGTTTTAACCAAAGGTACATGTGCTTATAGTGATTGGATAGAACTACTGTCAATATGCTTTTGCTTTGTATGATTGGCCAAACAACTTTTAAAGTAAGTTGTAACATTAAGTTCTTGCCTGTGAGCTGATGGCATCTTCCCATTGTCATAACCATGCAATGAGACTGATGCTGGAAAACAGAACAGCTCAAGACGTGTTCCTAACAGTCCTGTTCATGATTTGTACACAAACCCTGGCCAACAAACAAGGGTCACGGGAAGCACAGGGTGCAGGTCTCTCACCTCGCAGCTCCCCCAGGTCCAGGGTCTTCCCCAGCTGCTCCAGGAGGTCGGCCCTGGCCGCGTTCTTCTTGTGCTTTTTGCCGTCGTAGTGCTGCTGTGCCATCAGGGGGTTGTTGAACCAGGCCGTGCAGAGCTGGCAGTGCCTGTCCGAGTCCCTGCGCTGCGGCTGCGGCGGCGGCGGCACGGCCGGGGCGCTCTCCGCGTGCGCCGGCTTCAGCGCGCCCAGAGCAGCCTCTGCAAAAGGAAAAACGGGCACACGTCGGCTTTGCCGGGCTCCTGCTGCTGCTTTGCCGGGCTCCTGCTGCCTGAGGAGCACCAAAGCCTGAGGCAGATCCCACAGCAGACACAGGGAATAATTAGCTGCGGTTATGTCGATGTGTTCGCGGGTCCCAGGATGAGGGAAGAGATGAATCTGACTCCGTGTTTCTTAGAAGGATGGTTTATTATATTATGATATTATACTAAAAATGCTGTATTAAAGCTATACTAAAAAGGAGAAAGGATTTCATCAGAAGGCTAGGAAAGGAATAATAAAAAGCTGTGACTGCTCAGAGCCTCGACATGGTTGGACCATGATTGGTCATCAAGTAAAAAAAATCCACATGGACCAATGAAAGATGCACCTGTTGGTAAACCATCTCCAGACCACATTCCACAGCCATCAGGTAGGTATTGTCTACATTTCTTTTCTGAGGCTTCTCAGCTTCTCAGGAGAAAATCCTAGTGAAAGGATTTTCATAAAATATCATGGTGACACAGTTACAGGGTCCCAGTGGATATTTTGGATGGTGCTGCTTGGAAAGTTACCATTTCTCATTAAAAAAAGTATCATGAAAGGACAGCCCAGGACTGTTCCTCAGCTTTCTGCATTTCACTAACTGGGAAGGAGGATGCTCTCAGTGCAATTACATGTCTTATCACTGTTCTGACTAAATTTGCTAAACTTATCCTGCTTGAATTGCTACTCCCAGGAAAAATCGTCAGTGGAGAATAAATACACCATGCAGAGCCATCTCCTTCTCAGGACAGAGAGACATATTTATCATTATCTCAGGATTCTTATTTTTCAATTTATTTGGTCTCAGAAAGAATGGGAAAGCCATAGTCATTGCAAACTGTCACAGATGAAAAAAAAAAATACTCAGTAGTCAGTCCCTTCCTCTTCCTTCAAAGATCTTCACGTTGTGAATTGTCAGGTACCAACAACACACAACCTTAATTTAATTCTATTTTCCTTCAGATTCATCAAAAAGCCCATCCAGGAACACAAAAACGACCCCCAAATCATCCCAAAGAAAAGTGAGTGATTAGTCTTTATATAATGGAATGCACTTTGTTCAACAGAGTTTCCCAACTTCATACAATACAAGTCACAAACCCATGGAAAAAAGAGTCTCAAGTAAAATAAAAGTTCAGGTAACACTGGGATACAAAAATATAAAATGACTAGCACTTAATTATCACACTTCATTGAAAAATTCCCTTTTATGTGGCTTTCCCTTTCCTTTCTTTTCCAGATGAAATGTCTGCTCTTTAAATAATTAACAACCTGCTCTCTCCATGGTACTGGAATAGGCACATTTGGAGGTGTGTGGTGGCTGTCTTTGATCAGAAGATGATCCAGCTGAGCCCTGATGAGCACACAGGGCAGCAAATGCCAAACCCACCTCAGTGTCTGCCACCAGGAACAGCAACACAGGGATATATTTAGACATATAATTATGCCTGGAGCCCACTGTGATTGACTCCCTGGCTTGGGAAAGTTAATATTGTTATAAATCTTCTGCTGACCTGCTCAGTAAGGGACACCTTTCAAGGAAATTCTATCTTACATATAACATTACTTACAACCTTATCAATTTCCAGGGGTTTATAACCTTCTATTGTTTTTGATGATGACTGCCAAGGTAACAGAGTTCCAGCAGTGATGACGCTGCCTCTGAAGAGCTGCTCCAGGCAGGGCCAGGCAGGGTCTGGCTGGATTTTGCTCCTAAAAAAAAGTCTTTTCTATGGTTCCAGCAGGAGAGACACAGCCCAGCCCCTCCAAGGTGCATGCAGCAGAACTGCCAGGGTGAGCAAAGAGCAAAGCCAGCGGCCAGCACAGTCATCAGGAAGAAAATCAGGGAATTGCAGTATTTCCTGCTCAAACTGGGGTTACACAGACTTTGCACGTGCTTGACTCATGAAAAGCAAGCACAGCTGCCTTCTTGCAGACGTGTTCCTGCACGCCCCAAGGAGCCTCCCTGCAGGAAGGGGTCCATGCCCAGTGCCCAGTGATGCCACAGGCACTTGGAACAGCCCTGGTGAGCCCAGGGAACCAGAGTGAGCTGCAGAGAAGTTTGGAGCATTACAAACAACCAGCAATTTCAGCAGCCCAGGAGCTCTGTGACAGATCTGACTTGCTGCTCCACAAGCCCCAGGCTATAAAGTTAAACCTATCCAATCTTTTGGCCAGATCTCTCCTTGTTTCTATGCATGCTGCTGCCGGAGGGGGACCAGGCAGGCTGAAGCTGGCAGAGCTGGTGATGTCCACAGGAGTTACATCTCCTGCTCACTAAGGAAACCTGACAGAAGCAGCTCTGCTCTCAGCCCCTGGCTGTGCCTCTGAGCCCCTCTCCCTGAGGCTGGTGGCTTGTGCTCCCCCAAATGCCATGCAGGAGGGAGGTGCCAGGGGGACTGGCACTCCTGCTGCAGGGGATGCCACCAGAGCCCCCCATGCCCACCCCAGCCCTGCTCCCAGCCCACATCCACACCTGGATCCCATGGGACCATGGGCTACAGCTCCACAGCAGAGATCCCCTACCTGCATCACACAGGGCTGCCACGGGAAAGGATTTCCCTTACCACTCACAGTACAAAATATTTTTTTAAAACCACATTCCTCTGGCCCCACTGACAACCCCCACCAGTCCTAAGCTGTGCTGAGCCCAGCCTGGCAATTAATGAAAGCATCCCAAGCCTACCAAATTCTCCCAAAGAGAAATAGATGAAAGTTGACTTCTCCACAAATGTGAATTTATCATTTTGATATGCACTACATAACTGCTACAGAACAGCAAATGCCATCATTCCCTGAGCAGCGACATGGAAATTAATAATAAACACTCACGAAACGTCAAAAGTTAAAAATGTTTCACCATCTAAAACACAAACATAAAAGCTGCGAGTTTGACTATTTCAAGTATTTCAAAATGCTAAATAGCTCATGACAGTCTGCCTTACGTTCCCTTTCGCTGTGGGAGGGAAGTGAGAAAGTCTTACTTTGCTGCAAGAGGCAAAATACAAAGTTAGAAACACTTTAGCACTCCGGCAATGAACTAATGTTTGACTTCTTTCTCACATCCAAAGCTTTTCTTTCCAAGCTGGATTTAAATGGCACCCAACTTCTTCCATTGGCACACTCCAGAAACTCATCATGAGGACAAGAAAGTTAAGTGAGCCACAACAAGGAGGCATTGGGAAACTCAGAAGAAATCCCAGAAATCCACAACTAAGTCTCCAGCTGCTGCTGGACAGATCCTAGCACCCAAACCAAAAAGCCACTTGCTCAGTCCCTTTTGATGTCCCAAAGCCAGGGCCATCACCACTTTCCTGGAATGATGCCTGCAGGTCCTCACACCTGGATTGATGAAGACAGCAGCTATTCCCCCACAATCCTTGGGTTTGTAGCTCGTGGTGATGATGGGATGCAAGCTGACAGGGGATGCTGGAAATGACTGGAGGAATTCGTCTGCAATAGTGCTGACATGAAGCCTCTGAGGGCTACAGCCTTGTACAGCACAGAACAGGAAAGATCACAACCATTTCCCTGTCATGATGAGACATGGTTTTTGTGAGAAACCTGACTGTTGGGCCACTTATTCTCCTGCAAGCACCAGCAGAGAACGGGACATCTGTGCTCCATCTGGATGGGAACTGTGAAGGAGAATGTTGGTCTCCATGAGGGTCTAAGAATAGATGTCATTTTCTTTGGGATTGATGAGACAGAAACCCCAGAATATCAAGCAGCAGAATCTCCTCCCCAGGAGCATCCAGCACGCTCAGGGCTGTGCGTGGTTGGCTCTCAGGACTCACGAGCAGTGGAGTCTCTGAAGCTCTCTCTGAGAGACTGAACGCTCCCTAGTGTCAGCCACAGAGGACTGGGACAAAAATCCAGTGAAAATTGCTGGGTAGGAAGCCCAGAAAATACTGTGTCCAAAGGGCATATTTTTGAGAACTCCCGTAGAGCAAGGAGGTGCTTATTAATGTATTCCTGAGCTCAGCTTCATCTTCCAGATCAAGTGCCTGTAAGAGCTGATGAGTCCTTGAGTTGCTGCTTCCCAGTGATTAGGATGGCTGAAGAGCCCATCACTCCAGAGCACACAGCACGGCTCACTTAGAGCCTCATGAGGCTGATCTAGATGAATAAAAAGTGAGACAAAAGCCACAGTGCAAGGCTGCAGCTCTTAGCAAGCCCTGCCTTGGCCAGGCCCTGCGGCTGAAGGGTGAATCCAAATTGTCAGCACAACACAGGAATCTGCTCCAAGATCCAGCCCTTCTGTGAACATCAGCTCACCTGGACCTCACCAGGGCTTGTGGCAGCTCCTCTGATGCCAGGGGAGGAGCTGCTGGCAGGCTGCACTAAGGGATGGGGCTCAAGCAAGCCCTGGGCACACAAACACCAAGCTGAGTCCCTGCTGCTCTCCGTGCCCTTGCAGCTGTGTGCCAGCTGCAGGAACAGCCTGAGGAGCCCAACATGGGCAAGGTGTGGATGACCATGACAGCTCAGACATGAGCAAGGTGTGCATGACCATGACAGCTCAGACATGAGCAAGGTGTGGATGACCACGACAGCTCAGAGCCTTCCTCCTGGCTGACCCAGGGGTGCTTCACCAGGCTGCCATGGCTTTACCTTCTCCTCCACAGGACACACTGGACAACTAAACAGAGCAAATCACCACCTAACACAATTCCCCACATTCCCTCAGGCAAAGGGGCTAACAGCTCCCAAGCCCACCCTGGCAAAGGACAAGTCATACTCTCTGTATCAGCATCTACAGTCTGTGAAGTTAAAAAGACAACAAAACCACACACACAGAGTGCCAGCCCCCGTTATCTAATCACATCTAGGAATTACGTGCTAGGAGGGTCCAGCACACACAGCTCCATTTGTATTTTGTGCTGAAGGAAGTGCCACTGGCAGCAATTCTGGGTCACATCTGTCTGCAGGACCTCAGCCCAGCAATCCTTCTTGGAGAAAGGTGAGTTTTCTTTGTTCAAGCATTTTTTGCTTCCATAACCACAGAGGAATTTTTTTCACAGATTATTAGTGGTTTTCAGGGACTTTATGGTTAAGCAAACAATAAGATGGTTAAATTGTCCAATTTCAACATTTGACTTTTTTAATGTGAAAGTTAATAGGCTGCATTACTAGAATCACTGTGGAGGAAAGCACAAAACCCATCTGGGCAAAAATCAAGAAACAATCAATCCAAGAGTTTTTAAAACCTGGCTTTCCCTCTGTGGTAAGAGCAGATGATGCTCTGTACTGTACAGCAACACCAAAGGTTTATTAAACATATTAGCTGAGCTGATAATTAAACTGCTGATAATTAAAGCCAAGCTTGGCTATCTGCACCCAGTGGAGACACTGTTCTCCACTGAGAAAACCCTTTGGAAATGTGGAACCAGAGATAGGGCTCTGGCACCAGGGCCAGTCCCAGCTGATAAACCCCTCATCTACATAAACAAAGCAGACAGTAATGAGCATCAGGAGTTTTTTAAAGGTTGTTATGACAGCAACATAAATGAATAGCTGCTTCTGCCAGCTGCCACTGCTCAGCTTTCCACGTTGTTCCCATTTTCTGCCCTCACACACCAAGGCAGCCCCTTGGCCAAGCCCTGGCCCCCCACACCCCTCTGCACCTACCTGTGGCCTTCAGTGCTGGTTGTTCCCCTAGCAACAGTTTTAACCTTTTGGCATGGATTTTCCCTTGGTAATGTGACTCTGCCACCACTGCTGAGGTAAAGGACATGTTACATAGCGTGCAGCATTTGTTCTTATCCACTGAGTCACCATCACTGCCCTGGGTGGAGACAAAAACACAGACAAAACAAAGAGTGTATAAGCACAGTCACACAGAGAGAAGAGAAGAATAGGAAGGAGGAATCTAGGTTGTTATCCAAGGCCATGGCTGCCAAGGGGTTTCCCTTCCTCATCTTTCCCAGCCTTGCTCCTGCCTTGTCCCAGCCATGTCCAGCTTGGGGACACCCCCAGCTCCCCAGCACCTCCACTGTGCTCTGCACGGGGAGCTCAGCCTGTCCCAGTGTCCCACGGAGCTCCTGAGCCTCCCTTCCCTCAGCCTCTGCTCCTCCTCTCTGGCTGAGGGAGCCACATAGACCCAGAGCTTTTGCTGCCATCTGACACCGGGGCTTCCTCCTGCACTTTTTTAAGACACCCCAAAACATCTGGGGGCACACAACTGGGGGGCACAACCCGCTCTGCATGTGGGAGAAATGTATGAACTGCAGGATCCAACACCAGCCCTGGGTGAAGCCAACACAGAGTGGACACCTGACCCACCACTGAAGGTCATTTTTTTCCTCCCCCCAAAAAAACCACTTTTAGAAAAATGACTGATTTTCATCACTTTTTTGTTGTTGATAACTGTAAATCAAACCTTAGGGAGGAATCTCAAGAGGTGATTAGTACTGTTCTGAATGTAATTTGCACTTCTTTTAAATAGCTTTCTCTCAAGATATTTTATGCCTTCAAAGGGAAATCACTTGAAAGTTAAGAGCAGAGTAGAGAATTTCCAGTATCTATTGATCATCAGTGGCAACATATAAAGAGCCTCCAACAGAGCTTGTTTGAAAAGCTGATACACTTCGGTGTTAATGCACCAGGGTCTCTTCCTCTGCCAGGGCTGCTCTTCAGTGACATTTCTCTCCTTTTCAACCTACTTTCTCAGCTAGACTGCAATTAAAAATAAAATATTAAAGCCCCCCTCAAAGAGCCCTCCAATACCTCATGCAGAGCTCAGGGTCCCATTTACGCTGACCCACAGGTGGCTGTGCAGCTCAGCTGGGTTCACTCTGGGTGAGCACCTTGATGTGTGGGTAGGACTTCAGCCACCAGCAGGACAGGGGTGTCCCCAAACCCTCGGTGCACATGCATGACAGCCCTCTGCTCCCTAACCAGTTTTACACACCAAGTGCCACGCACCAGGCATTTGGGCTCTTCTGTTTTTAAGCATTTACCCAGGTCTGGATCATCCCTTAGCATCATCCCCAACCAAACCCCTGAGCAGAGCCAGAGGTGCTCCACGCTGATCCAGCCCTGAAGGGTAATTATGCCTTCTCATTTGTCAGGGGCTGTTTTACCTGAAACCCAAGAGGTCGGGGGGAAGCTGATCCAGGTGTGTTTTGTCACCTGCTGAATGACACGCTGACAGGGCTGTGCAACCACGGGGCTGCTCACCTAGGATGCTTCAGCTGAGCCACAGGGCAGCTCCCTGGGGGTGCTCTGCACCCACCCACTCTCGGGTTTCTGTGGTTGAGATGACCCTGAGGTATTAGAAAGTCTCTTTTTTTCCCAGCCCTGCGACCAAAGAAGAAGTAGAGATTCGCCAGTTCTGCTTTTTAAGGTTGTTTATTTTTTCTTATCTGTTACATTCTTGCTCTGACCTGCTGGGATCTGTCCTGCAGGTCGGGTTGTGGCACAGTGCCTGCCCTTGGGGTGGTGGTAACTTTTTATACTAAAAACTACCTGTACTTTATTTACAATAATTTTCCAATACCTGCCATGTAACAGAGGAAAAAAAAGGCTAATACTCCCTTTTTAGCTGCAGCTACTTTTACACAAATTTAATTGGTTTCCACTGATTGTTTCTAATACTCATTAAGGTCGCTGTGCCATGGCCTGAGTGACACTGCAAGGATTGGGCACTGCACTGCATGTGCACATGGCAGGGATGTCACAGTGCAACATCAGAGACATCCTAAATAGTTCTGTTCTCTCTAAATGCAAAGCCTTGTATAATATCTGATCAGCAACAGGCCTACTCTGAGCTGTAAATGTTGGCAGATTTTCCCTGCTGTATTTCTTACAACACAAATAATTTTAGCATTTAGGTCTGGCCTAGCCTAGCATTCACCTAGAACATGAGGACGTGTTAATCCACCCCCACTAGGGCTGCCCTTGGCAAAAGCATCAGCAAACACAGAACTACATTCCTTCTCCACCTTGCCTTTCACAAAAGCAATGGGAAATAGTTCAACTTTGACTTATTTGAGGTCTGATTGGTTCTCTGTCCTCCACATCCCATGCTGAGGTGCCCATGCAGTATGTGGCTCCTTGTTAGATGTAATCAAACCCCTCAGAGGACCCTGTTCCCCATCTTTATGCACCTGTCCACTGCACTGCCCACACTGCCATTAACAACTCAATAAAAACACTGCAAGGTCCTGCTGTGGAGGGGCAGACTGCATCTGCAACTGGCCTGTGTGCAACAGAAAAGCTCATTACTACGTAAATGAGCTTTCAGATTCCTTGGGCAAAACCTGTGTGCCTCTCCCTTTAATTACAAGATATCACAGTGAATATCAACAGCACTCAGCTCCAGTCACACTGAACTGGTTTGGATGCTGCACGCTGGGAACCTCACTGCAGCTCTCACATACCCCAGAGCGTGGGAAGGAGCCAAATTAATAATTCCCCATGAAGCCATCTCTTAAAAATTCAGCCTCCTTCTATCTATTGCCTGACAAATGGCTGTGAGCTTGTCCAGTTCCTCGCCTTCCTTTGTTTATTAGAACACAGTTGAGGAAGCCAATGGCCAATCTTTAAACTGGGAGCAAACACGGAGCCTTTGGATGAAGCACATCAACTCCCAATCAAGGAGTCCCCAGAACCCTGGGGAGGTGACACTGCTTTTGCTCCCCCCAGGGGTTTTCAGCTGTGACACTGCAGTGGCACCACTGGCATCCCCTGATGTCCTGCATGGCACTGCATGGCAGGTGTACCCACAGCTGTACCCACAGCAGCTCTGTACTTGGCACCAGGGGTACCCACACAGCTCCACAGCCACCACTGCCACCCCACACTGCTCCCAGGCACCATCCAGGTGTGAGTCCTCCTGTCTGCCCAGGGACCCTCACCCTTGACAGTGGTGTCACCTGCTGGAAGTTGGGTGAAGGGGTCTGGAAGTGCCCCCAGTGCTGCTCCACTGCCAGCAGCACCCCAGAGTGGCCATCACCCCATGCCTGGAGGCACGAGCCTCCCACAGGCATTGCCCCATCACCTGCCCCAGCTGCTCACCAGCAGACCCACCACTCACTGAAAGGGAGCAAGCCCTGAGTACTTGCTAGCAGCATATTTTTTTCCTATGAAAGAACATTTAAATAACTAAAAACGCAATTACTGTTGCTGATGCGCATCGTAATTCTTGTGTAGTTTATTGGAAATTATTTCCAGTAGCTTTGCGTTTCAGCTAATCCAAATGTTACCTCTGGGCACCTGATCATCTGTGTAAGGGAGAGAATGATGTAGCCCAGAGTCAGTGATGCACAAAGCAGCTGAATAAACAAGAGACTGGGATTGTACCCACGTTTTCTGAGCGGAGCTTTTTGGCCGGGCAGCCTCCATCGACGGGGTGCAGCATGTAGTAGAGACGGACTTTGCTGGCATGCTTCCGACTCTGGAATGCAAAAAGAAAAGAAACTGAAGTTACAAGCAGGGAGAGGCTCTGTTGCTGGGCTCACTACACCAAGGCACAGCCAGATTTCACAGCCCCCCTGGCACACATATCCACCACTGGAGGAGAAAAGGCAGAGGGATCCAGGTGAGGAGCATTTGCACTTCTCAGGATTTTCACAGAGCTCTGCACCCAGCTGAAATGAGCTGTGGGATGAAACCTGCCATTAGCAGAAGAAATGGCCCACCCTGGCCCCTCTCCAAGTCCTGCTGCCTTCAGGCCCTCCAAGACACAGAGGGACCAGACAGCCAGGGAAGGAAAGCATTTGTACCAGACCATTTCCATGGGGGGGCAGATTGAAAGATGGGATACTGAGCTTCAGCCAGAGACACAACAGCATCCTGCAGTGTCAGAGGCACACACACAGACCAAATCCACAGCTCCTATGCTTCTAGAATGATAAAACATTAGAGGGGCAAAAAATCTCCCATGAGGGAGACACGAGCAGGTTTCACACTGCCTTTGGGCACAGCTGGAGCTCACGGGCAGGTGAGGGTCAGAAGAGACAGGAGATCCCCTGGTGACCCCAGCAGCAGCAGCCAAAGCAAATCCTTGGCACTGGCAAGACTTACAGGAAGATTTTAAAGCTTCTACAGCAGGAGCACAGACATAAACCTTCAAAAGCCTGACTTACATCAGGTCTTGTCTGCGACCAGATGCAGGGGGGAAAAGCCTGCAGCCACAAAATAACTGCACCCAGCATATGGGCAGCAGACACACGGGGAGCTGTTACCATGCAAATGTTTCCTTTGAATCACCCTTTCCAACTGCCCCAGAGAACAACAGCATCGTAACGTTATCATTTCACATCACAGAGCTGCAATTTAAAAATATTAAATTACCATTAGCATGTTCTGGAACATTCTTTTTCCTGTGGTATAAACTTGGAGCTAAATTTGCAGGGAGCTATATTTGTATTCGCATGCAGAAATGTGACTGTGCAATAATTTTTTCCACGGAGCAAATCAGTCAAGACAAATAATGTCAAATATCTGTCCCCAGCTTGTCTTCCTGCTGCATTTAGCAAATGTGACCTTCCATGGTCAGAGAGAAGCGCAGGAAACCCCAAAGCTCCAGCTATCAGACGAGCAAGCCAGACGGCGACTGCGCAATTAGAAAATGACAAAATAGATGTTTGAAATGCACAGGACAGAGGTGCAACGCCACTCCTGGTGCTTGGCTGCACTCCCAGCTTCCTGCCTGAAGCGATGCTTGCCTTGCACCACACAGGGCCAGGCAAACACGCTGGAAAGGCAACGTGGCCAGAGTTTTTCAGTTTAATTTCTTGCCTGACGCCCCGCAGAGCAGTCAGCCTCCCTCGAGTCATCCTCCCCGGAGTCACGAGGCTCTTCCCTCGGTTGGCTTCATCCAGCACGTCACGATGCCCACACACACAGAGCCCCAGCCTGCTCTTTTTTAGAGGGCAAAACATTTGGGAGGGGTTGCTGGGTGTGTGTAAGCTGCAAAGATGTTAAGAGGAATCATTTTTACGGTTCTGCTCCGTGGCACTCAGCTGGACCATAAATGGTGCCCAGATGTCAGAGTTGAAAGACAGCAAAGCTTCAGCCTTCTGTAAATCACCTCTCACCTTTCTTTGGATTTGTGAAAGCCAAGGTAAAGAAATGACTTATGTTTGGCATAATTTAAAACCACACAGCTCCTTATGCAACCTTATTATCTTATGATCATAAAAGTGGAGCTTAAAATCATCCCTGGCCTCCGCGTGTATGTGGTGAGCATCTCCTTCCCTCTGCAGAGCAGAGGAAGCACAGCCCATTTGTCATCCATTTTATCTCTGGCATTTTCTACATTTACATGTGTATTTATCATCCCAACACGCCAGCAGGAGCACGGCAGGAGCACAGTGATTATTCTTAGCATGCTGCTGGCAAACAGCACTGCGGGTTATCCTCTCCCTGCTGAAAACCTGCAGCTTTCAAGGCACCAGGAGGGCAAGTGCCACACACACGGGGGGGCCAAAGGAAGAACCACAAACAGGAGCCAGAAAACTGGGATGAACTGGGATTAGGGCACCTCCAGCTCCCATTTTGACCCATCTCACCGCATCCACAAGCTGCAGGAAAGACAAAACCTGGCCACATCTGTAAATCCACAGTGCGGAATGAGCAGGCTGCCTTGTGCTCCAACAGCCACCACAACCTCATTTTGGGTGCAATAAGGGTGTTTCTGTGCCCGTGAATATTTCTTTTGTAGCTGTACAAAGTGTTACACCAAAGGCATTCTCACTTTCCTGTCTCTAGTGGGGACACCAGCTTTTAAAGGCACTAAGTCTGGTTTAATACTGCAGGCTGGAAAACCAGCCCTGACTATGCAGGGAGCTCAGAGTCTGTTTTCACACAGCTGCTGCAGAGTTCTGCATTGCAAGCTCATTTGCTACTTTAAGGCTCATCAATAAAAGTAAATAAATGGATCATTTCTGTCTCTATCAAATCTACTCTGGTACAGAAGATCGTGGCAGAGACAACGAAGTTCTGGCAATTCAACCCTAAAACATAAAAGGGCAGATCAGAGCTAAATTGTGCTATGAAATGCAATTTGATTTTGCATAAATTGTGTTTTGCAGCACGCTGTGCCTGGAGCAGGCAGCGAGGTCCCTGCGGGGTCGGTTTGGGACGCTCAGCCCTGATCCCTGTTTGATGCAGGAGCTTCTCATCCCTCCTCTGTGATGGACCAGCAGCTCTGGGGAGGACTGACCCATCTCCCTTCACAGCCAGAAGCTGCAGGCTGAGGCATTACAGCCCAGGGGTCGCCAGGCTACACAGACACACACAGCTCTTCCTTCTGTGCTTGCCCAGGGTCCGGGAGAGGAGCCTGTCACTGTCATATTTTCTGGAAAAACCCCTTCGCCAGGATTTTCTCCTGGGAAGCTGAGAAGCATCAGAGAAAAAGGAAAACAATAATTATCTGATTTGCTTCTCCTGTGTTTTGCTGCTTTGGATTGTGGTTTGGAGACTGTTTACCCACAGGTGCATGTTTGATTGGTTTCATGTGAAATGTTTTGACTTAATGTCCAATCACAGCCAGGCTGTGTTGGGACCCTGGAAGGAGTCACAAGTTTTCATTATCTTTCTTTGTAGCCTTCTGTCTGTATCCTTTCTCTATTCTTTAGTATAGTTTAGTATAGCATTATAGAATAGAATCGAATAGAATAGAATAGAATAGAATAGAATAGAATAGAATAGAATAGAATAGAATAATAAATTAGCCTTCTAAGAACATGGAGTCAGATTCATCCATTTCCTTCCTTCGACGGGGACCCCAGAAACTACCACAGGAGCTCCCCCACCAGCTGAGGATCTCAGACCCCACCATGGCCCCAGAACTGCTCCCACTTTACACCATGATTCAAGCTGATCCAGCAGTCTGAAACACTTTGCTTGCGAGGGCCCTCTTTCTGTCTCCTGTCATCAGGCTCAAATCAACTATCTCTGCAGCTTCCCTCAGGCTGTGCTAGCACATAATCTCATTTCCCTATTCCCCATATATCCCTTCATCAATCCTTCTGCTGGCAGCTTTATGGTTTTGGGCAGTTTAGCTTTCCTCTCCTGCTCCTCCTTGTCTGTGACCCCTTCTCCAGCCAAAGGCCAAGGACCCCCCCACTGAGGAGCACCAAGCACAGACACAGGTGTGAGATGAAGGAAGGAACCGTGGCAGCCCAAATGGCTGCAGCTTCTCTTAGTCTGTATTAAATTCTTTTTCAGAGGGCCCACTGGTCGGGTTTTAATCCTTTTAGTGTACACTGTGTTGATTTTTTTGTGTGCTGGCAGTTTCTTAATTAAATTGCCACGCAACACGCGGTCACATGATTACACCGATTTTATTATCTGTATTGGCACTACTCGTAATCTCATCAAAAGAGACAAAGTTATTTTGGCTGGCCCAGTTGTCCAAACCTTGTGCAGAAGCCCAGTTCCATGGTCCTGCAGCCCCTTTCCCCAGATGCTGTGCCCAGGAGCTGTGCCAAGGCAGACAGCTCCGGCTGCCCGCACGGGACCCCTGGCACTGCCATGCCTGGCCCTGTGCTTGCTTCCTCCTGGAAATTTCCTCCCCTTTCCCACGCCCACAGGGTCAGCAGTGACAGTGCACACAGCACGTGGCCAGCACACTTCAAGCACCCACTTGTGAATTCCTGGACCTGCTGACCTAAACTACATCATCCTGGAATTTGTAATCGCTGCCTAACAACCTTCCAAATTTTTACTGGAATGGAACCAATCTATTTCTTCCTCTATGATATAACAACATCCTCTGCATTTTTTAAATAGACAGGAGAAGTATTTTCAGCAAATGCCTTCCCTTTTCTGCCTCTACTACCCACACAACAAACATTGTCAAGATCCCTGTGGTTCGCTGCAGAGCTGAACTCCCCGGCTGTTATTCCAGACACTGCTGGATTCCAATGTCCTTTTTTTCCCTTTGTAATTTTTGAAAAGCCTCATTTATAATTTATGGTCATTTCTATCAACTTCCCCTTTTTCCTCCATGAGTTAATTTTTTAAAAAGTGTCTACTCATGCTTTTGTCTTCCTGGGCACACAGAAATGTGTCTGTAATTCCCAAGTGCTCAGCTGAATTTGCACCCCCATCAAACTGGCTGCTCCAAAGCAAAGAGAGGCACATTACTCGTGCGGACATTGATTTGTTTACACATTAAGGCAACTACTGAGGATCTATTCAGCCAAGCAATCACTAGCTCCACTTCCTTATATCTGCTTATTCCTTCTACCATTCCACCTGGATGGCCAGGCTGACTCCAAGTGGGGATCCTGAGCATGAATTTCCTGTCTCAGGAATCACCATTTCTGCTGTGATCTTTAACTTTACTGATTCCTATATTGGTTTTGACTGTAGTCAAAGTATCTCTTGTCCAACACACTGCTGGGTACCCTGTGGAGAGGAAATAAGTCTCCTTAGAGGCTGCTG